GTACTTAATATCTCACTGATCGTGTTACATGTTATTGAAGGGTATTGGCAAGTTATTGGACGGCAAGTCATGGCTTGTCTGCCAATCGTCAGTGCCAGGTGCAGTAAGTCAGATGCAAACACCTTATTATATACAGGCCGACGTGATATTGATGGTTGGTTTGTTGTTTAACGCCGCACTCAGCAATATTCCAGCTATATGACGGCGGTCTGTTAATAATCGAGTCTGGACCAGACAATCCAGTGATTGATACCATGAGTATCGATCCACGCAATTGGGATCGATGACATGCATCAACCAAGTCTGCGCGCCTGACCATCCGATCACGTTAGTCGCCTTTTACGACAAACATAGTCACCTTTTACGGCAAGCATGGGTTGCTGAAGACCTATTCTACCCCGGAATCTTCACGGGTCTGATATTGATGGAATATTGCTGGCTGTATGAGTGAGTGAGTCGGGCTTAACGCCGCTTTTAACATTATTACAGTTATATCACGACGTGTCAGCTTAATGTGGGAGGAAAGCCCGAAGTGATGCAGGTCTCAGACGTTTACCACTTCGGTGAAACCCACTAGCACGGGTATGGTGCTGACAAACCTAGAAACATAATCTGGGCGAACCGGGATTCGAACCCACAATCATAGGTTTCTGGCGTACCCAAGGGACGCAACTCTGCACAGCGAATCGCATCGCCTTAGACGACTGGGCCACCCGTGCCCCTGCTGGCTGTATGAACATATAAGTGTGTGTATGTATGTATGAGTGTATGACTGTATGAGTGTATGACTGTTCGATTGTGTGACTGCATGTCTGTGTACATCTTCCCGAGGCAAGGGCGTTAACTGACCATGAAAGTCCAGTTTCCACCCTTGCGGAACTGGGCAGGAATGTCCAGGCTCGATCGTAGCGCCACCAGTGGCTATTACGAGTTATGTCCCTTCTTTGTTACTCCTTTTGACCAATCAGATTCCTTATCTCATATCACTTGCATTTGCTTCAAACAAAACGGCGGCGGCTTGTCAAGACGATCTGCTCGATAGTCAAGATCTGTATTGTAATAAAACGGGTCTTTCCCCGTGAAGTGCATCAAATCACGTGAGAACCTTGATTAAAAACATGAAAGAATTTGCGAAATATCTGTCGACGCCCAGTTCGTGGTACACATGCTCTTCAAATCCTGCAGTCGACCGAAATCAGCACATTGAAATACATTACCAACCGGATGTCGTGTTCGTTGCGCGACTTTAATTGGGCTATGCACAGACTCGTTAGTCCAGTCAAAATGTGACTCCAGAATTCCAGCCTAGTTCGTCAAGGGTGGAAACTGGACTTTTACATTCAGTTAATTCCCTTGCCTCGAGAAGATGGTCCGTGTTCGTGTATGAGTTTATTACTGTATGAGTGTATGACTGTTTGCCTATGATTGATTGACTGCATGAGTGTATCAACGTTTGACTGTATGACTGTATGACTGTGTATGTATGAGTGGATGAATGGAAGATTATGTTTCAGCGCCAAAATGAATTCGTAGAATATTAATTCACTCACAAACTGTGGGACATATCGAAAGAAACGCACTCAGTCTTCTGGGATCTTGTAAAACTTTCACACGAGTCTTGCCAGTAATAACCTCGTATACTTGCCCATCATATAATATATTCGCATTAAGATAAGGAAATAGCACATGGTTGAAAAGAAAAAAGTAACATATACTGACTGTATGCTCAGTTTCTGAAATAGTGATTGAGTGAATATGGTTTTACGCCGCTTTTAGCAATATTCCAGCAATATCACGACGGGGACACCAGAAATGGGCTTCACACACTGTACCCATGTCGAGAACCGAACCCGGGTCTTCGGCGTGACGAGCGAACGCTTTAACCACTAGGCTACCTGACCGCCCCCTGAAATAAATAAGTCCGTTAGTTCATGATTGACTCAATTCCCCTTCGACGGGGGTTTTATGGGCTGTTTGAGAGCATTAAAGTGTAATAATTGAGGAGCTATATAGCCTATAGCAGCCCGATGTCCCCCTCTCACGGCAACCCTGAAAGGAGAATATCTAATGGGCAGCTTACTCAGGGGAGAAATCGGGCCATGGGCAAATCAGTGGGACATTTGTTATCAATAGGAAAATAACAGTCTAGGAATTCAAAAATCTGGGTCTAAAAGGCGCATGGCTGAGGTTTTTCATAAATGTAGGTAACATTGGAAATATGAACTGCGAAGAGATTTTGCGACGACGGCCGTCATATCAGTTCCCTGACCGCTTGTAGACCTCTGCGGCCCTGGGTCTTTTCAGGAATTTAAGACCGTTGGGTTTGAAAGAAATATGTCCTAAATCTTACCTTGTTTCATATCTGTCTGCAATCCCGTTAAGAAACGTTACGACAGGACACGTTCATCTAACGTGACGTTTCAAAGACAAGAGTAGCCTCCCTTCGAAAAAGGGCAAGGGTACATATGCATTTTCACCTCTCACAAACGGTATCTGAACATTGTAAGTTGTCAAGGAATGCGCACATTAATATTTTAGGTCAAAAGGTCAGTGGTTAGACAGTGACAACATTCAATATTGTTACAACTAAAACTTATCTTTCTGACAGTGTCGTATCCATAATGAAAGATAATGATAACCAGGTGTTGTATCTGATTTACCAGAGAATATGACTGATTGAAGGTAACAGTGACAGGTACGTGTGGTGATTCGGTTCTTGTGGTGATAGCACAATCATTGCTTGATGAGGAGTGGTGAACATCGTGTGTTATTTGAGTTACCTTAAATTCAGTTTTAATACGTGTTAGGAAAAAAGGACTTCACTTAGCTCGAGGGAACTGCGAATTATCTCCCTTGGTCCCTTGGCGAGCGCTGTACACGTGCTTTTGGCTAAGGCAATTTGTTATGGATAGAGAGAAGCGTGAAAGCGCAGGCAAAGAGATGCTTCAGGGAGTCGTGTCGTACAAACCGACAGTTTCCAGCAGAGATTTGGGCTGTGACAGAATCACCAGCATCTGAATCAGAGCCACATCAACCATTCATTACATAAAGGGGCTGTGGGGTAGCCCCCAGGTTAAAGCGTTCGCTCGCCACGTCGCTTTTAGCAATATTCCAGCAATATCGCGGCGGGGGACACCAGAAATGGGCTTTACACATTGTACCCATGTTGGGAAATCGAACCCGGGTCTTCGACGTGACGAGCTCAAGATTTAACCACAAGTTTGTTTGTTTGTCTGTTTGTTGTCCTAAGGGACGCACAATTTTTAATTTTCATTGTACCTACATCGTATAAAGAGCAATGGCGGGTGTCTGTTATTTCATCCATCAATTATACCCACTGTCCACGTAATCATTGATTTTATTCCAGGCTGTAAAGGAAGTATCTAAATGTACAGACGTTACACCATTTCATGGGTACAATGTGTGAAGCCCATTTCTGGTGTCCCCCGCCGTGATATTGCTGGAATATTGCTAAAAGCGGCGTAAAACCATACTCACTCACTCACTCACTCACTACACCATTTCATCACTTTACAGGGGGCGGTCGGGTAGCCTAGTGGTTAAAGCGTTCGCTCGTCACACCGAAGACCCGGGTTCGATTCCCGACATGGGTACAATGTGTGAAGCCCATTTCTGGTGTCCCCCGCCGTGATATTGCTTGAATATTGCTAATAAAAAGCGGCGTAAAACCATACTCACTCACTCACTCACTTATTACTTTACAGGACCCACATATTACCTGCAAGGACCCTTAAAATTAATTATTGGGGGTTCCGTAGACCCTCGACCTTGTAAGTCAAGGTGAAACCCTGAATAGATGCTTGTAGATATAACCACAATCTGTTTCCTTTATTATCGCAACAGGTCACCCTGATTATTCCGATAAACGTTATCTTAGGATAAAAACTGTACTAATGTCATCTTTATTTATTTTACAAATAGGGTGCACGGGTGGCCCAGTCGTCTAAGGTGCCGCAATTCGCTGCGCAGAGATGAGCCCCATGGGCACGCCAGAAACCTATGATTCGAATCCCGGTTCGCCCCGATTATGTTTCAAGGTTTGTCATCACCATACCCGTGCTCGTGGGTTTCACCGAAGTGGTAAACGTCTGAGACCTGCATCAGTACTTCGGGTTTTCCTCCCACATTAAGCTGACACGCCGTGATATAACTGGACTACTGTTAGAAGCGGCGTTAAACCCTTAAATCTTTGAAAGGGGCGGTCGGGTAGCCTAGTGGTGAAAGCGTTCGCTCGTCACGCCGAAGGCCCGGGTTCGATTGCCCACATGTGTACAATGTGTGAAGTGACATGAGTAGAACACGTTGATCTATTTTAAGAGAGTGAATGCGTGAGTGAGTGAGTGGTTCCTACTATATACCAGCATCCACATCGTGACCTTAGCAGTACAACTGTGGGGGCGGTCGGGTAGCCTAGCGGTTAAAGCGTTCGCTCGTCACGCCGAAGACCTGGGATCGATTCCCGACATGGGACAATGTGTGAAGCCCATTTCTGGTGTTCCCTGCCGTGATATTGCTGGAATATTGCTATAAGCGGCGTAAAACCATACTCACAGGTATATACTTACAGGTGCGACCGCCTCCGTGGTCTAGTGGTAGAGCGTCCGCCCGGAGAGCGGAAGGTCCGGGGTTCGATCCCCGGCCGTGTGATACCAAATGACGTTAAAAGATAGTACTTGTTGTTACCCTGTCTGGCCCTCGGCATTAAGGGGCTAAAACAAGGACTGGTCGGCTCGGAGTCAGTATACTGTGTCTGAGTGGGGTATTCATGTTAAACTGCGGTATGGTATCTCAGTGGGCTAGCACTATAAATCGGCATCAGTCCGGACTAGTACAAGCAGCCACACACACACACACACACACACACGTACGCGTGCATGTACGTCGCTGTATAAGTGATATAATCTTGGACGCGACGTTAAACCCCATTTCACCTCACCTCACCTCACAGGTGCGTGATTGAGTGTTACACAATAGGCTGGTCATACAAAATACTTTATTCAGTGTATATGAAGTTCCGCTGTAATACTGAATGAGGAAATTACAAAACTTGCAAGTCAGCTAATACTGGTCTTGTATTATATTGTCCCGTATATCACACGGTAGCAAACAGTGTCCAGAACGCATGGAAAAAGTTCCACTGTTAAACAGCACGGATGCAATACGCCAGGGCGAGTGGGTGGTTTGTCATGGGCATGCCCTTCAAAGATATACCCCACGGCAATAGATCTGAGGATTGGAAGACTGTAATACTGAGACCACACACACGCATATCGAATTCTCCATAGCCCCTAGGCATACGCAATTTGATGATATTGAAAAAGTGACAATAAATACTATTTACAGTACGTGAGAGAGAGAGAGAGTTGCTCTATTTAATGTGAAGTTCTCAAGAAGGTTCACTGATACTAATAATAAGCTCACTTGCAACGCTCTCAAACTCCCCAACATCATGCTTATGGCGCTAACACAAACACGAGAAAGATTATAGAATGTTGATATAACGTTTGAAAAGTCACGTCTTTAACTGTCATTTGAATTGTGAATCAGTCTGAATTGTGCTCAAGATTCTGTCTGAATTGTCAAAGATTCAGTTTGAATTGTCAAAGATTTAGTCTGAAATGTGCCAAAGATTCAGTCTGAATTGTGCCAAAGATTCAGTCTGAATTGTGCCAAAGATTCAGTCTGAATTGTGCCAAAGATTTAGTCTGAAATGTGCCAAAGATTCAGTCTGAATTGTGCCAAAGATTCAGCAAATCTCAAGTAGTCGGGCAGAGAATTCCACTTCGTACACTAAACTCTAAACATAAGTAGTGTCCTTAAAATTTGTACATTCAAAAGCTGTAGTCTTCAGTTCCAAACAGGAGCGACAAGTACGGGCCACGGTTGCGATCGTGAGGACATTTGTTTGTCAAGCCTCGTCTTAATGACATAGGGAATCGTCACCTATCGAAACATGGCCACACTGCGGTCGTGGTAGAAACGTAAAGATTATAATGGCACATGGTCACTGGGTTTGGTTCAGCCAAATAACGTTTTACTCAGCTGTTTTCACAGTTTCATTCTTATAACTGAAAGATTCCAAAGGAATAAGATACGAGTTAACAAGCCTTCGCGCAAACACAGGCATCAGATAGGGGAGAGGAGACGTCGTAATAGTGAACTGAACCCCGATGGGAAAGGACGGAATATTGCGTTTACATATATATCTATATCTACATAAAATAAAAACAAGAAGTGCTTCTCGATCAAATTGATAATAAGGGCATTATCCTGTCATTATTAACATCGAAACACGAGAAGACAACTGAAGGGATTTTTTTCCCAGCAAATGATGGAGTGGTCTCCCCTTGTCATGGTACTTTTCCTCGTTGATATTTCAACTCTAACTCAACAGTCTGTCTCAAAAGGTGTCATGGTCATTCTTGATTGACGCCCTCTTTCGTCTTATCATTTTCCTCTTTTTCCGATGACCTTTTCTCCTTGGTTGGCTCTTTATTGTCAACAATCTCTGCGCTTCCTTCCGGTTTCACGGATTTCTGATTGGTCGATTTATCCACGTGTGGTATCGTCTCCCTCTGTGATTGGTTAGATCTGTCAAGAGAGTCCAACCGAGACCTTTTCCCGAACTTCTTTTCTTTACCCTTCAGGTATTCGGCCTTAATTTTCTCCAGTCGGGCTAGCTGTTGCTCACGTTGTCTTACCAGAGTTTTCTCCCTTTGTTCGAGTTGCTCCCGTTTCCTGTTCAAGTCCATCTGTTCTATCTCGTTCTCCCGTTCAAGCATTTGCTGTTGGCGTCGCTTCCGCTCTTCCCAGGAGTCCCTGCGAATGATCAGTAATCAGCTGCATTAATCAACCCACTGGTTTCAGTACACGCAAGCATTAAATGTTAAAAAACTCGTTTTGTTTGTTGTTCAACGCCGCACTCGGCGGTCTGTAAATAATCGAGTCTGGACCAGACAAACCATTGACTGACATCATGAACATCGATCCACGCAATTGGTACGAAATGACATGCATCAACCAAGTCAGTGAGCCTGACCACCCGATCCCGTTAGTCGCATCTTATGATAAGCATAGTCGCCTTTTACGGCAAGCATAGGTTGCTGAAGATCCGTGAAGATCCGTCTTCAGCAATTCATGCTTGCCGTAAGAGGCCACTAACGGCATCTAACGGCATCGGGTGGTCAGGCTCGCTGACTTGGTTGATGCATGTCATCGTATCCCAAATGCGTGGATCGATGCTCATGATTTCAATCACTGGATTGTCTGGTCCAGACTCGATTACTTACAGACCGCCGTCACATAGCTGGAATAGTGCTGAGTGCGGCGTTAAGCAACAAACAAACAAAAGCTGAAGACCTATTCTACCCCGCATCTTCACGGGTGGGTGTATCATTTGCTCAGTGCGCCAGTATAAGGGAGGTAACTCTATGTGAGAATATGAATGATCTGAGTGCTCAAATAAGCCTTGCTGTGGCCAATGTTCACCCTGAAACAATACGAAAGTATATCCAATTTGTCTTGAAAATATGAATATTATAGAATGAATAAATACCCTAATGTTATCAGTATTCCACTTCATGACTTGAATCCACCCACCTGATTCTCCTCTCGGTGTCGGCCACGTGTTGATGTCGTTTCTCCTCCATCCTGAAAGACAGCAGGCTCTCCCGCCTCTTCAATCTGGAAACGAGGCTCTCACTCCGGTTGTACATGTCCAGCCTCGCTCTGAGAATGGAGTTTCGGCGCTGTTCATCCCGTTCAGTCAGATCACTCTCGGACTGGGCCTCGCGAGATCTCCGTCTGCTGGCTTCTTGTTCCAGTTTTCTGGAATGGTGAAGGATTTACTGACAAAATGGAGTCTGCTTCTATCTCTGTGTTGTTGCAGTGGCTAGTCTGCAGGGACGTCGCAGGATCATGGTTGTGTAGTGTAAGTGAGTATTGTTTTACGCCGCTTTTAGCGATATTCCAGCAAAATCCCGGCGGAGACACCAGAAATGGGCTTCACACATTGTACCCATGTGTGAAATCGAACTGGGTCTTCGTCGTGACGTGACACTTTAACCACTAGGCTCCCCTACCGCCCCTATTGTGTAGACAGGAACTGCTATGACCTCAAACGTGAGGAAAATACACGGAATACCTACCACCGTCTTGGCTTTTAATTGAATATATTTTGACATATTTCTTCAGCAGTCGGGCGGTGGGGCAGCCTAATGATTAAAGCGTTCGCTCTTCACTCTGAAGACCCGGGTTCGATTTCCCTAATGGGTACAATGTGTGAAGCCCATTTCTGTTGTCCCCGCCATGATATTGCTGGAATATTGCTAAAAGCGGCGTAAAATCCAACTCACCCACTGGTAGTCCGACGGCGTCTATAGTTTATTATGCTACCAACATACATCCACTCGTTTGCCTGTCCCAGTCTTGATTATATACTGGTCGGTTTGATATGGCTGAAACTATGCTCGGCATAAAACAACATTCATTTGCAAGTTTAGGATTTTAAGTCAGCCCCCTCCATCGCCACAGAAATACGAATACTTACTTCTGTTTTTGTTTTGTTTTGCACTCAGCAATATTCCAGCTATATGACAGCGGTCTGTAAATAATCGAGTCTGGACCAGACAATCCAGTGACTGACATCATGAACATTGATCTACGCAATTGGGACGCGCTGACTTGCATCAACCAAGTCAGCGAGCCTGACCACCCGATCCCGTTAGTCGCCTCTAACGACAAGCATAGTCGCGTTTATGGCAAGCATGGGTTGCTGAAGACGGGAAAATCTTCCTGGGGCTACATCACTGGTTATTGAAGCTCTACTGCCCAATCTATTCAGGTTAAAGTCTACTCCGACTTACCTGTGTCTCTTGAGGTTGAAGTCTGTGACGCTCCTGTGACGGAGGTACTCCCGGTACTCGTTGAACTCCTTCACAGAGCACGTGATCTTGGAGTCCTTGGTGATGAGTCCGTTGCCAAGCAGGATGCGTTTGGTGGGGGGTTTCTGAAAGTGATGCTTGAGGAAGGGGTCTTGCAGGGAGTCGTACTCAGCGGGGGTGGCGTTACCCAAGGGGTCCGTCAGGTCGAAGTCGTATCTGTAATGTGGAAGGTTCCAGAAGTTGACTAACAGACTGAAGAACTCGGAGGCTCAGAGGCTGACAACAAATACGAGTCGACTTCAAACTTCTAAGTGCTCAAATAAAAAAATACATTGTCGTTTGGAGATCTAGACCATGTCCTCAACTCTCAAGTCCGTGGGAACATGGGGGTCCGGATGGCTGCCCCCGCCTACCATCCTCCCGAGGCAAGAGGCTTAACTGACTTTAAAAGTCCAGTTTCCATCCTTGCCGAACTAGGCTGGAATTCCTTTGCTCGATCGTAGCGCCACCAGTGGATATTACGAGTTACGTCCCTTCTAAGCCTCTCCTGTGGACCAATCAGATTTCACCTCTCGTATCATTTGCATTTGCTTCAAACAAAACGGCGGCGCCAAGTCAAGACCATCTGATCGATTATCAAGATCTATATGGTGATAAAACGGGTCTTACATCGCGAAATGCATCAAATCACGTGAGCACCTTGATTAAAAACATGAAAAGATTTGGAAAATATCTGCTGACAACGAGTTGGCGGTGCAAATGCTTTGCAAATCCTGCAATCGATAAAAATCTGCATGACAGTATACAAACCGGATTTCGATTTCGTTGCGCGATTCTGATTTGACTATGCATAGACTCGTTAGTCCAGCCAAAATATAACTCCATAATACCAGCCTAGTTCAGCGAGGGTTGAAACCGGACTTTTATAGTCAGTTAACTCTCTTGCCTCGGGAAGATGCCGCCTACTTATTCACACCAATTCTTTTATCAACAACTTTTTACAATCAGAGTTGTGGGGATCCTCTTCCCATTGGTCAACATCTACATAAATACACCGGGTGTCTGTGTTTCTGGGAAGACTCTGAATCAGTGCAGTTGATGACATGGGACCATTGGGCAAGAAGCTTGGAGGTGCTGACTCTATTCTCATCCATCGCGATGGTCAAATTAACCGAGCGTTCCCGTTATCAAGGGGGCACGGGTGGCCCAGTCGTCTAAAGCGCCGCGATTCGCTGTGCAGAGTTGCGTCCCTTAGGCAGCGATCGTAGCTCTATGACGGGCGTAATTCAGTGTCCTGGCGGCCTTTTCGCGAAGCTGTCATACCTAAGACACCTTTCAGCGACTTGCGACTAAACTTACGACTGCCATTAGAGCTATTCTTGAATGCGTCTTAAAGCTATCGCAACGTTACCTGATTTCTTAGCTGAGAAGGGGCGGTCGGGTATCCTTGTGGTTAAAGCGTTCGCTCGTCACGCCGAAGACCCGGGTTCGATTCCCGACATGGGTACAATGTGTGAAGCCCATTTCTGGTGTCCCCCGCCGTGATATTGCTGGAATATTGCTAAAAGCGGCGTAAAACCATACTCACTCACTCACTCACTCACTTAGCTGAGACAGTGAGCTTTTTTGTGACGGAGGTAAGATAACCCAAGTGTTACCCAATGACGTCATTGATTATTGAGGGAATTCCCTAGATTGAAATTATATTATTTGTTTATCAAATTTTATATAATTTTTGAAGGTAAACAAACCCCTAATGAAGATAAATGTTGATGTTCTAATTAATGCTGTTGCCTCGCGTCATTGTTAAGCACAATTTATCAACGAAGCTGTTGTCCTTTATATATAGATATAGCAAGCATTGAAGATTATTATATGGAATTCCAAAGGGTAATTCCAAAGGAAAACGAAAATGTGAAGAAAAAAAATAAGCGTAAATAAGTAGCGATGACGTTGCGGGACGTGGCAAACATGTCGCAAGTGTGTCATAATAATTAATAATTGTTGCGATTTACGGGGTTTCACATTGTACGACGTTCTTTTCATTCGGTTTAATAAATACAAATACAACCGCAATATATAAGTTGTAAACATAGCTAGTACGATAGCAGCGCTTTGCGTAACCTTGGAAACAACAATGTTCATCTCTTCAACAACTAGTCTAAATGCTACATAGTGAAATCATTCAACTGATAGTGGTACGATATATCTTCACGCAGCCTCCTTCAGGATGTTCGTAAAACGTACATTTGACCCAATTAAGAATTTTCTTGTTCCGCGGTCGAACTTTGCCGCCATTTTGGTTTGAGAAGGAAGCGACCTCAGTCAGCGATTGGTATGATTGCAACCGGCTGGAAGTTAGTGCCCCGTTGTAAGGCGAATCGCTGTACATCGCTTGCAAGCGATTACGACCGCGACAATGTCGGTTAAGTCCATTTTTATGAACAGGGGGGTTAAATTTTGTATTTCCCGCATATGCTCACAATCTTCACGTCAATTATCTGTACTTTTTCTCCCACTACCGATTGTCATATCTCTCCCACTATTGGAAGCGATCGTTCGGCCATTGCGTTTATCTACGTTGCCCAGCTACATCTATGGGGAACAACTCACTAGAAACGTCCCTCTCAAAAATAACGTCGTCCAATTTACGACGTCAAGTTGCGAGCGCATGTTCGAATCTCCTGAAATGAAGTGAGAGAGTGAATTGGGTTTTACGCCGCTTTTAGCAATATTCCAGCAACATCACGGCGGGGGACACCAGAAATGGGCTTCACACATTTTACCCATGTCGGGAATCGAACCCCGGTCTTCGGCGTGACGAGCGAACGCTTTAACCACTAGGCTACCCGACCGCCCCCCTGAAATGAAGTCATGACAGAACAGTGTTTTATTGTGAAATATACCACGTTTCGTTGCGATTCATCGCTACGCGTTCGGTTCCAAATTCAATTCAGCGGGGTTAAACTACAGGTAACCCTAGCTCTACATTGAAAACCCAGTATGTTTATCTCCTAACTACGGTGGCCCATAAGGGACATGGAGTCTGTTTTTCAATATTTTGATGTTTCACTTACTTTTATCGTAACCTTTAGCAAATTAACACAATTTTTCATACAAATATGTTATAAATCATGTATAAAAACAACCGTAACATGGAAAATGTACTTTCAAGTAGCTATTGAGTCGCTGAAATGTGAAGCGAAAATGTCAAAAACTAAAATGGAAATGTCAAAAACCAAAACGAAAAGGTCAAAAACTAAAATGAAAATGTCAAAAACAAAAACGACAATTTCAAAAACAAAAGCGAAAATGTCAAAAACTAAAATGAAACCACAGAAAACTATTATCACCGCGGTGGAAATAGTTTTCTGTATTTTCATTTTAGTTTTTGACATTTTCATTTTAGTTTTTGACATTTTCGTTTCACTTTTCAGCGATTCAATATCTTCTTTACACATGATTTATAACATATTTGTAAGACAAATCGTGTTGATTTGCAAAAGGTTACGATAAAAGTAAGTGAAATATCAAAATATGGAAAAACAGACTCCATGTCCCTTATGGGCGACCGTACCTAACTGTAGTGATATCTCCAAGAAGAGCAGCATGAGATTGATGACGTACTTCTGCCTGTTGATGTACTTGGGTTGGCCGATCTCCGTGGTAAACAGCGTGTACGACCCCCGGGGACTGGGGGCCACGGGCAGCTTGGAGTCCAGGGACAGGGTGGACCAGTAGGGCAGGCTGTCCCCCAGGGGGAGGAGGGACCTGCTGAACACCTTCTGGCGGCGGGGGGCGGCGAGGCGGTCCATCGGTGAGATGCGGGCCTGGAACGGTGATGGCCACAATAACGTCACAAGCTGGAGAGTATTATGTTGAAGTTTGTTGGTTAACGTCGCACTCAGCAATATTCCAGTTATATGAAGGCGGTCTGTAAATAATCGTGTCTGGACCAGACAATCCAATGATTGACATCATGAACATCGATCCACCCATTCGGGATACGATGATATGCATCAACCAAGTCAGCGAGTCTGACCACCCGATCCCGTTAGTCGCCTCTTACGACAAGCATAGTCACCTTTTACGGTAAGCATGGGTTGCTGAAGACCTATTCTACCCCGGATCTTCATGGGTAGGAGAGCATTTTGACAAAGCTTTGCATTACTGTACTGAACGATGTTACTGCCACGTATTGTTGTCTGCAGCTTGTGTTAAATACCAAGGGATAAACAGTTATTATTGTTGACGTATTTTTTACAAACAATTATTCAGTATGGTTTTTTTTGCGTTTAAAACGGGATCGGGTGGTCAGGCTCGCTGACTTGGTTGATGAATGTCATCATATCTCTATTGCTCGATGAATCGATGCTCATTGTGTTAATCACTGGATTGTCTGGCCCAGAATAGATTATTTACAGACCGCTGTCATATAGTTGGAATATTGCTAAACAACAAACCAATATAAGGGTTTGATCAAATTCAGCATGGATATCGAAGTACCAAGTTAAAGATTGTCATGTATTATGAATTTACTGCATGGATTTTCCGTGCAGCATATTTGTGCTGTATATATTTTCATTCATATTTCTTTTGTATTTCTTTCCATTTATTCATTTATTTATTTTAACTTCCAGGCTGTATTTTAAATCTTATTACGCAGAATTTTGTTACTGTTATGCTGTATTTTAACGGACACTTAATTCGGAAATCGTTACAAGTAATAATACTTTTGCTGTCGTTATCTTTCACATAAAAATGACATTTAGTCAAAAAGCATTCTTAAAGTAATCCCATGTACGTATTGTCGTGATGTTAGTAGTAGTAGTAGTAGTAGTAGTAGTAGTAGTAGTAGCAGCAGCAGCAGCAGCAGCAGCAGCAGCAGCAGCAGTAGTAGTAGTAGTAGTAGCACCAGAAGTAGTGATACACTGTCACTGTGTAGGAATAGCGACTCCTCGGTCGGTTCAGTTTGGTCTCTGCGAGTAATATGCGTGTACCCTTATCACACTTCACACCCACAATCACAAACCCGCCTGCCTGCTCGTGTCGAGCTGTGGAGCAACACACACACACACACACACACACACACACACACACACACACACACACACACACACACACACACACACACACACACACACACACACACACACACACACGGACACGGACACTGACACACACACAGATATTAACCTTGGGCATATTCCTCTAACGGGAGTCTCGCGCCGGACGGGATCTCACCTGACTACCTGCTCTTCTCCCGGGGGGTCACGTGGTGCAGCGGCAAGCCTGAGAAAACAACAGTGAGTCAAGAATGTAATGACCCGTTTAAGGCCGAATAGTGCCGAGAACTGTCGGAGATTGCCGACCTCTAAAAAGTACGTGTCTTTACTTTTTATAAATACCCTGTCAAGGGGACTAATGTTTGTGAGTGACTAAGTGAGTGAGTCCCGAGTCTTCCCGAGTCTTCCACATAACCACCACAACGTTTGTAAAACACTGACTTTATGACTTTCTATATGATATAATATAATATAATATACACTTATCGGTTTGTTTGTTTGTTTTGTTTGTTTGTTGTTTAACGCCGCACTCAGCAATATTCCAGCTATATGACGGCGGTCTGTAAAATAATCGAGTCTGGACCAGACAATCCAGTGATTGACATCATGAGCATCGATCCACGCAATTGGGATCGATGACATGTATCAACCAAGTCAGCGAGCCTGACCACCCGATCCCGTTAGTCGCCTCTTACGACAAGCATAGTCGCCTTTTACGGCAAGTATTGGTTGCTGAAGACCTATTCTACCCCGGAATCTTCACGGGTCTACACTTATCGGTAAATGACTCTTGTCTCATTGACTCATGTCGAGAATTTTTCCGGATTTTGTGCACACTTAAGCTATTTATTATTTATTAGCACGTGCCAGATTGACGGTATTTTATTATACTGTTTCGTGACGTCTCATTGCAACAGCAAGAGGTCATGTTAAGTTGTCACGAAGACTTTTAGTGAGAGTGTAAGTATTGTTTTACGCCGCTTTTAGCAATATTCCAGCAATATTACGGCAGGGGACACATGAAATGGGCTTCACACATTGTACCCATGTGGGGAATCGAACCCGGGTCTTCGGCGTGACGAGCGAACTCTTTAACCACTAGGCTACCCCACCGACAGATGTATCGCCCCCGAAAAATTGTATGTATGATGTGGATTTTGTCTTACTATCAATAAGACATGTTAGGCCAACATGTGGAGAAATATCCCGTCACGGAAACGTTTAACGGCGCGTTATAACGCGGTCCATTGTAATAACGTGTAAACACAGAATTTCTGCAAACTCACATCACAATAAGGTAAACATTCAACTTCTTAAAGGTAGATGTTTCTTATTAAATATTTACTATATTCAGTCTTCGGTTTAAATGGACTCCTTGAGGGTACGGGTGGCCAAGTCGTCTAAGGCGCCGCGATTCGCTGTGCAGAGTTGCGTCCCTTGGGCACGCCAGAAACCTATGAATGTGGGTTAGAATTCCGGTTCGCCCCGATTATGTTTCTAGGTTTGTCAGCACCGTATCCGTGCTCGTGGGTTTCACCGAAGTGGTAAACGTCTGAGACCTGCATCACTTCGGGCTTTCCTCCCACATTAAGCTGACACGCCGTGATATAACTGGAATACTATTAAAAGCGGCATTAAAACCAAACTCATTCACACTTTAAATGGAATGGAAACAATGCAAAAGATGACGCAGCGTTTTGTCCATCAGCAACACTGACCGTATAACGTCCATAACAGGGGGAAGCGTACGTAATATATAATACACCGCTACATTGACGGAAGCGTGTTTCATTGGAACAATTGTATACAATCCAACTTTCAGCATGGCTCTACGTTCTGTGTAATACAAAAAGCAGAGTGAGTTAGGTTTTACGCCGCTTTTAACAGTATTCCAGTTATATCACGCCGTGGGAGGAAAGCCCGAAGTGATGCAGGTCTCAGACGTTTACCACTTCGGTGAAACCCACGAGCACGGGTATGGTGCTGACAAACCTAGAAACATAATCGGGACGAACCGGGATTCGAACCCACATTCATAGGTTTCTGGCGTGCCCAAGGGAAGCACCTGCACGGCGAAATGTCGTGCCTTACCCGACTGGGCCACCCGTGGCCCCCTACGGAGCAGAGACAAAGGTGCATGCTGCATAACTGCCACATAGTTAATATTCAGTACATTCACATGTTAGGCTATGTATAGCGTGACGGTATAAAATATATATTAACAGTGGTATAAATGCAATTAGCGTGCTTCATATTTCAGGCAAGTGGATAATGTAATGTTATTAGATTTTCAGAGATTGTGTGTGTGTGTGTGTGTGTGTTGGAGGGGGGGGGGGGGGGGGGGGGGGGATGCAGGACTTTTTGGGAGAGGGGATTCTTGTAAATGGGATTCGTACAAAACCCACAACCAACAACCCACAACCCACAACCCACAACCCACACACCCCACATCCCACAACCCACACACCCTACACCCCACACTCCACGTCCCACAACACACACACACCGTCAAACCCAACACCCCACACACACCCTGTCAAATCCGCACCCCACACCCAACACACACCACACACACACGCAACCCATAACATACAACACACACACACCGTCAAACCCAACACCCCACACACCCTGTCAAAACCGCAACCCGCACCCCACACACACACCGTCAAACCAAACACCCCACACACCCTGTCAAAACCGCACCCCACACCCAACACACACCACACACACACGCAACCCATAACATACAACACACACACACCGTCAAACCCAACACCCCACACATCCTGCCAAAACCGCACCCCACACACACCACACACCACACACACACGCAACCCATAACATACAACACACACACACCGTCAAACCCAACACCCCACACATCCTGTCAAAACCGCACCCCACACCCAACACACACCACACACACACGCAACCCATAACATACAACACACACACACCGTCAAACCCAACACCCCACACACCCTGTCAAAACCGCACCCCACACCCAACATACAACACACACACACGCAACCCATAACATACAACACACACACACCGTCAAACCCAACACCCACACACCCTGTCAAAACCGCACCCCACACCCAACACACAACATACACACACGCAACACGCAACACACAACACACAAACCCCGTCAAACCCCGCACCCCACACACCCCACACACCCCACAACCCGTCAACCCCGCACTGACGGGTATAATGATGATACAGTAACCAGGGTATAGGTACAGGAAACACTCGTATTTAGATAAAGTTTTGGCCTGTTTACATAAAAAAAAGAACTGCCACAAACGCCAACAGCCTGCTTGTTGCCGAGTCCAAGATTCCTGACAATGGCGCCGCTGTGTGGTTCTGTAAGACGATCTCTGACTACGGTAATCACTGCATGGGTTTAATATGCACCACAACCTTACAATCAAACTGTGCGGGGTTTGATCAACTTTGATAGATAAGAAAAAGAAAAGATAAGATTTAATAATGTTTCACGTGGCATAGGTTACACAGGAGTAAAAACGATTCGCACAGAAATATAATATACCCTCCGGCCTAAAATGCCCGGGAGACACAATATTAACTTGATGATACAAGAGATGATAGATGATAAGAGCACTCAACGTGCGAAAATATCAATGCATATTAAAAATAGTGGTTCAAAATATTTGCAGATACAAACATATTACATATCACAGCAACCTTATTAATTCAATTTAACTAAGAGTATTTATAGTCTAAGAACTGAGGACGGTCGGGTAGCCTAGTGATTAAAGCGTTCGCTCTTCATGCCGAAGACCCGGGTTCGATTCCCGTCATGGGTACAATGTGTGAAGCCCATTTCTGGTGTCCCCCGCCGTGATATTGCTGGAATATTGCTAAAAGCGGCGTAAATCAATATTCACTAAGAACTGACATTTCCTCCGCTTAAAAAGGTGTTCACAACAGCGGCTAAAATACTATTTCCCGGAACTGTCAATTGCCATTGCCTTGTTACCATTTAAATGGAAATCAGATTGGTGCGGTGTAAAGTTTTCAAACTAAATGGTCAAGAAAAGTTAATGCGGTCAAAGACGAAGTCTGACCATTCAGAAACCCCAGTAGTCATAACGGGGAAAACATGGCGGCCAAAACAAGAAGGCATTAAATGAGTAATTTGACACTTTATAATCCTCCATACTGGTTAATATCTCCCAATATCCCACACTGAGATTGAAGATACCAGTTTCAGTATATCAACAGACTCATACATTATAGCTGGTATGTATCAATCAGGAGATAAGTAAATAATCACAGGTCTTGGTACAGATCGAATATCTCGAAAACACGCCAGACCCGCGCCATCAATGGCTTCTCTCGGGTCTACTGTTGTATCAGATCATCTAATCGAAGACGGCTTAGTTGCCACCAGTTGCCTCGGTCAACAAAGACCCTGATGTGATATGGGAACTTCAAAGTAAGCAGGACTAAGTTATGTTACGACTCTTTTACACGTTCTGCCGCGATACAAATCTACCTAACACTCTATTTGTGGATCTGGGTATTGTTAGTTCAATTTCATAGGTGTTGGGTGTATTTTTAGGGGGCGAACAAATCCATCATGTGACAGGTTGATCCAAACGAACATACCATGACATTGTCTTAATCTGAATAGGTTGGTAGGCGGAATATCGTCACTTCGCGCATTTTGAACATTTATATACTACAGTAACATCAAAATAAGAAATAATTATCATAATAAAAAACGGATATTTGTAACGCGGTATCATCCATTCGTTGAAACATGCTCCAAGCGGTAACACCATTTTTGCTCCGATCAGTATTCAGTATGCACTCGATTTTCATTCTCAGCTCCCCGAGGAGGGTATTACCTGAGCAACCATGAGACGCAACAAGGTTAACAGTCACATTACCATCTTATCCCCATAAACCCATTCAGGGCTGAGGCGAGCCGTGAAGATCCGGGGTAGAATAGGTCTTCAGCAACCCATGCTTGCTGTAAAAGCCGACTATGCTTGTCATCAGAGGCGACTAACGGGATCGTGTGGTCAGGCTCGCTGACTTGGTTGATGCATGTCATCGTATCCCAATTGCGTAGATCGATGTTCACGATGTCAATCACTGGATAGTCTGGTCCAGACTCGATTATTTACCGACCGCCGTCATATAGCTGGAATATTGCTGAGTACGGTGTTAAACAACAAATAAACA